TTGGGTTAAAGCAGAACCCTGGGCTACCCCCGCACTGCAAGGGTTAAGTGTTCGTTTTTGCCTAGGGTCAAAAATTACAAAGTTATACTCAGCAGATCTTCTGAACCAGCCAGCTGTGACAGCACTCCCTCCAGCCTGTCTCCTCCTCCGCTGCAACTAAGGTATGACCCCGCATGTGCTCACATCCTATCGAATCCTATAGAATGTGATGACTCAGGAACCTTGGACCACTGGAGCCGAGGGGGAGAGAGGCTCGAAAGATCTGGTGAGTATAACTTTGTTATTTTTGACCCTGGACAAAAACGAGCACTTAATCCTTGCAGTGTGGGGGTAGCTCCACTGCAAGGGTTAATAACATTTTTACCCAGGTTGTTCTCTAATGCATGTATGTTGTGTTATCAACAAACCGGAATGGACAAAAAACAGCACCTGTGCCTTTTTTATCTGATACAGCACACCATAAAGCATGGCAGTGCATTACTACATTACAGTGCAGTTGAAAATGAATGGCACAGTAACATACATTGCCATGTGTTACTGCATTGCATAGGTGTGAAGGGGCCTTTATTCTCATGATTCATATAGTTCAAGTCTTCTCTTTCCTAGACCCTCTGTGACCTCATGTGCAAAGATAATATTAAAGATTAAAAAATACATTTTTACATTGATTTTTTTTTTTAGTTAGCTACATATGAAATAGTGCATATAAATATTTCATACTTGCTTTTACAGCCAGCGAGTAAAGCTCTGAGCATCTATTCATTTGTTTACTGGGTTACCTTAAACGTTTTGATGAAAGGCCGAAGCTCAAACTACACTCACAGCAGAATGAGTCAGATGAGTGACTTACCCCCTTCCCATTCTGCTTCCTGCCCGCTGTGTTTAGATGGATCATACTGAGATGCAGTTAGAGAATTAGAAAGCTGCTCGGTTCTACTAATAGTGTGTCAGTAATGACTGTGGTTAGAGTTACTTTTGATATTGGTATGGGTGAAGGCATGCTGATATAATATATAAAGTGGTCCTTTAACTAAAAATCACATCAGCATTCAGCTATGCATGCTGATATAATATCATATTACATTAATTAGTTAAACAAACATGTTTTTAATCTACTTACACATAGAGTTTTTCCACTTCCTGATCCACTTTGGCACAAATGAGGTAATGTGCCCAAGCATTGCATCCTGGGAAGGTAACATCTGCAGTGCATTGCTGGAAAATCTCACCTGTAACCTCACGAGAGCTCAGGGAAAGGCATTTTCCACCCCTGAGATGATGTGCATGGTCACATATCCTAGTCACAAGTGCCGGAGTACCAAGGAGTAAAGGGAGATAGATTAATCTGCCCTTAGTAAAAATGGGTAAAGAATGGGGAAGAAAAGATAAATAAGGTATGCAAAGAATACAAAGCCGGCAATTATCTAGAAGTATGTGTTTGTAGATTGTCATTACTAAACATTTCTTAAAGGAGAACTATGAGGTGAGTGCTTTTCACTCACCTCATAGTTCTAGCCGACCTGTGACAATGAGACTGTCACAGGTCGGCTCAGTAGATCGGGAAGTGAGCAAACACATACCGGCGTTCGCTCACTTCTCGATCCTGTCACGGCTCTCTGCCGTGACAGGGGAGGGGATGGATTCCCCCCTCCCTGCTCCAAACCGCCAGCGCTGACTGGTGGAACGGATGGGGGAGAGGGCGGTACAGCTGGCTCTGCCTCTAGATAGGCAGAGCCAGCTGTCACTCACACAGCTGGGCGGATCTCGACATCGATGTCGGGATCCGCTCCGGCTGCGGCGTCTCAGAAGAAGCTGTATACTGTATACTCGCGGTATACTGCGGCGTCAGTATACCGCGAGCTACTCACCGTTTGTGTCCTTCCGTTACCCTAAGGAGAACTATGGGGAAAAGCCCTAACCCCATAGTTCTCCTTTAAACGGCTGACTGGGAGCTTCTTGAATGGCTATTTACACCACTCTAGAGATGCCCGATCACTTGTGTGTTTGTTGTTATGTTGAAGATCTGGGTAAAGTTCCTCTTTAACAGAGCTTGTAGACCTGTATTATATGATCACAGAGACCTATATCTTCATGTCCCATAACATATACATTCTCTTACTGTATTTCCATTATTTACATAGGTAATCCAGATGCTACACCACATGGTTATTTTTAACTTCCATTCTCTCAGCTCCTGACACAGACTTTCAAATAATGACTGTGATGACGGACAGCCACCAGTCTAACAAATTAATTATGGCAGATTGTGGATATGCAAAGTAGACTACATAACACATTTACTTTATGAGGAGAATTAAACGGAAAGCCGAGCATGTGCCAGCGATTTCTGTTACTGTTATTTGCCGAAATATTTACAACAACTACAACTTCTTTGTGGAAACAGCTCAGGCTGATTCTAATCACCGGCAAGGAAGGTGAAAGACTTCTTCACATAGTGTACTGTTTTAGAGTAAGCAGGAACCTTTAAGAACCAATGAAGCCTAAAATACCCAGCAACTTCAAGTTAAAAATAACTATTGGCATTCACAAATATTCACAAACATTCAACAAAGGTTCTACTTAAAATACATTTAAGGATTTTTACATTTCAAAGAATACATAACCAAACTAAATTGGACTATTTTATATCTGCTTTAAGCAAAGAAGTAACTTTATACAATGCAATGGAGTTTTTTTTCTTTGGTTAAGTGAGGATTTTGTGCAGTTGCTATTTGAAAGAAAGAACCTATACCAAACAGAGCGTGCCGGAAAACAACTCATCTTGAAAATACACAGAGGAGAATTTCTCAAAACTAGAGCAGACAAAATCTGGAGCAGTTGCCCATGAAGAGAGAAGCCGATTGGTTGCTATGCACATCTGCTCCAGATTGTGTCTGCTCCAGTTTTGAGAAATTCCCCTCACAGTGCGTAATATGCTGAGCTTTTGGGTCTCCATCCCCTTGCATCTCTAAGGAAACATTCTGGCTTACTTACAAACTTCAGTGTGAGCCTGCTATGAGCAATTACTTTCACACATGAGAGTTGGTGTGTTTCGTAGCTTGCATGTATTTTGCACATTTGTATGCACATGTTCAAGCCTTTTCTAGATTGAGAGTTCTTGTTTTAGCCAATGGAAAGCTAGTTACTAGGAGGAGGAAACAGTTGTTAGTTACGAAATCTATGTTTTAAGGCCTTTTTCAGGCACTTCCATTGAAGTCTTTTGGGGCCCAAAATGCACGATCATGCCACAAAGAAGTTTATGTACTTTTTCTGAGCATTAAAGTGGTAGCACATCACTTAGATATGAACAGGCACAAAAGAATAACATAGAAATCTGACTATCAAGCCCTGAAGTGCTTCTGGAAAAGCATTTGGAACTGCTCAGGTGTCAGTAAAGTCACTGTCAGTAGTTAAGGGCTCTACCACCCTTGAACCATCTGGAGCTCTTGCTAAAGTCAGGTGAATTATATAGCATGAAGTGGGACTATAGCTCTCAGGCACAAGGGAACAAATAAAGATAACCAAGTTAAAGTGATATTAAACTTTAAAGATTTTTAAGCTATTTCAAATGGTGATGACATCACTTACAAGGGATGTAAATGGTCCACTGAGTACTGGTCTTGATATCCTGTTTTATGGTGGCTTCCTTTTTTCCTATGAAACCAACCTTGTGTGTGCAAGTAAGCTGTGTAAGTCTCCACAAAAACACAGACACAGCAAAGCAAGACACGTCCCTGCTACCAGATCCCTGCTCCTCCCTTTCTCTTCCCCAACCTAGTAGATTAATGGCTGATGAAGTCTGTTCTGTCTTCTGTGATCTTGTACCGGACAGGGAGTTCAGGGATGTGAAACTAAGAGAGTTGGAGCCAGCTGTTTGGAAACATGATGACTATAAGAGTTGGGCAAAATAAAAATAAAAAATCTTGCTAGGTAATGTATATTTGTTTGATGTGAACGCATTATAGAAAAAGATTTGAGAGTTTGAAACTACTTTAAATTATGTTTGTCAGACACTCTTTATATATGCATGCAAAAACAGCATGAAAACACAAGAATACACAAGTACAGCCAGTTTTTTATATCACAAGATCTCCAACTCTAAAATAAATATTGTGACCAGACTATGTTGACAATACAAGATTTCTATTGATTTGCACAAAAACTGATAAGAAATAATACAGAAGGGCCCATGAAATGTCTTGCCTAGCTGCTGCCTGGGATCAACAACCAACTGACTATAAACATGTCACCATCATGATCAGCAACAAAAGCTGCGGGCAGCATACTTTTTAACCAGGCTTTTACTAATCTGTCATCACCTCTTGCATATGTGTCAGAAATGAGTTGGGCTGCATTCACAAGGGTGCTTATGCAGCGTTCGGGGATTTGTACATGGTGCGATTACCTGTGGTTCAGGATAGATGAGTGTCCTTGGACGCAGGATGAATGCATTCATGGACAATCATCTAGCCCGAACCACAAGTAATTGTACCATGTACGATTACAAGCAGACTGCCACTGACATATGCGGCTTATGTCACCTTGTCATTATCTTGACAGGGTGACACAGGCCACATCTGAACAGGCACACCTGGAATCCCTGCCCACAAGGATATGTAGGTTCTTGCCACAGGAATCCCTGGACACAACCTAAAGCCCCTGTGTGAATGGGGCCTTAGATGCATGTAAATATTCAATGTAAAATTAGGTTGCTCAAACAGCTAGCTAAAGTCATCTACTGATATTTATATCCGCAGGTAAGAAATATGATCAAAGAATTAGTAAAAATCAAAATATATAAATGTCACTCTCATTTGATAACTTCATCTAAACCCGCTGCAAATCTAAACACCAACACGTCAACATTAATAGACAGTAATAGGCATTAATTTACAAGCAACAAAAAAATGAATATTAAGCACTGCAGAGAGAAATGTACATGTCCAAACCTTAATAATGAATATGCTTTGCATGGTCAAAATAGGCAATTATTTGCTTACCTTGCACTGACCGGCTATGCATACAGCGGTTCCATTCAGGTCACATGGTGTTCCATCAATTACTTTTTCAGCTTGCCTGACGTAGAACCTGTAGCCCATTGCCCTGCATGTCAGCTCACACTTTAGCTCCAATTTCCCTGAAAAACAAACACTTTTTTTGACACATTACTGTTGCATTTTTGTCAGAGCACTCAGCCCTGCTTCCTATATTCAATGCTGTCATAAACATGGTCACTACTTCTGCTATGACATTAACTCCCTCTTTACACAAATTGGCATTCTGCTGCTGTCATGTCACTGACCTAACAAGTACAAGAGTCAATTACATAGAGTTTATACAAACTAGCATAGAGAAGGGGTTAATGTAGGAACAGTGTGGCTATACAATGACCATATGGCTTACACAGGACAGCAAAGTAATTTGTCATTGAGTTCTCCATTTGGTAGCTCTCCTTGTAGAACCTTAGCAAGTACACTTACTGCACCCCCATGGAAGCAAAAGTAAGACAAATATCTCTGTGCTGTTTACAACGCCTCAAAATGCTCAAAAAGCATAATTATACCAGGGTATATGAGAAAGAGCTGTTTTTTAATGGTAATGCAGTTGAAATCCCAATACAGTGGAGCTGGGTCTCCATCAAACAGGAGTATGCACGAACATGGAAACCTTCAATTTTCCCAACTTTCTATTTTAAAATGAGATATCGTTAAAGGAAACCTGGCACATAATAAACTGCAGTTCTTGTTGTGGCTGCATTAATTTTCACCTCTCAAACCTTTTTTATTTCCCTTTATTTTCACCTGGTGATCCTGCCAATAGCACACTTCCTGTCCTAGGGTGGCAATGCTCACTCACTATACTGAATCTATAGAGGAGCAGCCACAACTAAAATAATCTCTCTTAGCTTGAGCCCTGCAACTCGGTCACTCACTTTCTGCTGGATTATCTCATTTAAATAGTTCCCTGTACTCGGTCATACACTCACTGGCCTCTTTATTAGGTGCACCTTGCTGGTACAGGGTTGCACCCCCTTTTGTCTTTAGAAACTGCCTTAATTCTTCATGGCGTAGATTCAACAAGGTGCTGGAAACATTTCTTAGAGAGATGGTTCATACTGACATCATGCAGATGCTGCAAATTTATCAGCTACTCATCCATAATGCGAATCTCCTGTTCCATCACATCCCAAAGGTGCTTTATTGGATTGAGATCTGGTGACTGTGGGGGCCATTTGAGAACAGTGAACTTTTTATTATGTTCAAGAAACCAGATTGAGATGATTTTAGCTTTGCGACATGGTGCGTTATCCTGTTGGAAGTAGCCATCAGAAGATGAGCACACTGTGGTCATAAAGGGATGGACATGGTCAGCTCCTAAACAGACCTGCTGTAGCCCATCTGCTTCAAGGTGCCACATGTTGTGCAATTAGAGATGCTCTTCTGCATATCTTGGTTGTAATGATTATTTGAGTTACTGTTGCCTTTCTATCAGCTTGAATTAGTCTTTTCCATTCTCCTGTGACCTCTGGCATCAACAAGGCATTTTTGTACAGAGAACGACTGCTCACTGTATGTTTTCTCTTTTTCAGACCATTCTCTGTACACCATAGAGATGGTTGTGCCTAAAAATCCCAGTAGATCAGCAATTTCTAAAATACTTGTATGGCACCGACAACCATGCCACGTTCAATATCACTTAAATCACCTTTCTTCCCCATTCTGATGCTCGATTTGAACTTCAGCAGATCGTCTTAACCATGTCTACATGCCTAAATGCATTGAGTTTCTGCCATGTGATTAGCTGATATTTGCGTTAACAGGCAGATGAACATGTGTACCTAATTAAGTGGCCAGTGAGTCTATATTATGTATTAAACTGGCTCTACATACATTTGGGAAACGATGCATGTATGGAAAAAAAACTATTTTTTTTTTATATATCAGATTTGGGTATATTTTACAGAAACAATTTTCACAAACACATGCTCAGAAGACTTGAAAAAGGAACAGGACAGAATTGTTTGTAAAAAGGAAATGAAATGATTAATTCCCTCTGATAAATGAATTATTATAACTGTGTTCAATTTTTTTTTATCTCCCAATAAATTCTCATGCAGAAATATAATGCAGGTGTGGAAACATTACCACTTACAATAAAATGGTTATTTAACCACTGAAAGCGTTTATTGCTCTTTAATCTGTTACCATTACTTTATCTCCACCTCAACAGACACCTCATTGAAACCTAATGACCACAAGTGAGAAGCAAGCATCATTTTAAAGAGAGGAAACCATGGTGAACATTTTTCAGAATCAATAGTTACATATAAAATAGAACAAAACTGATCATATAAGATGCATGCAGTAATTTCAACTAACATATTTGATAGAATCTTCAGGGAATTAAACACAGCATTGGCAATCATAAAAAACGAAGCACATAATGCACAGTACTGATAATACAGTGGATGCAGTTTTTTAGTAAAGTGACCATAACACGTGCTGTCTACTAGTACCCTAAACAAAAGACAAAAATAATATTGTGCATGCAGTAAGTGCAGTTATGCAATATCACCACTAGATGTCACTATGATACATAATAACTACTGTGCAAGCCAGGTATAATAAAGAAGAATGTTTGCTGCTACTTTAAGTGTGTACACAATATAATAGCCAAGTACACACACAATAATAGCTATACATAGCACTGCATTATATTAGACCTTTTTAAAACTGTTTGCACTAATCAAGAATAAGGTGTGCTTCTACATCTTTAACCAGTTGACATCCGCGGTGTTAAACCCCCTTCCAAAAAATTGCCGTCTGGAGACGGCAACCCGCAGATGTAGCAGTGCCGTCCGTCCGTTTTTTTACTACGGGCGGACGGCAAGAGGTTAAAGTGTATCTACAGTCAAAACTTTTTTTTAGATAGAATGGGGAAAGGTTAGAACCCCTATCAGGTTTTAATCCTATCTTGGGCTCTATAGAGAGTTTTTACAACTTTCTGTTCTAGGGACAAGGTTTTACCATACATGAACTAAGGGAAAATCTGCAACAGGGTAACAGACAATACAAAGATGACAGACGTTCTAGCTTTCCCCTATTTAACTTTTTTTTTAAGTTTTGGATAGAGTGGGGAAGGATTAGTAACTCCTGTCAGGTTTTCACTTCCAGTCTGATAAAAAAAAAGGTTTTCCCCAGGACAGGAAGTAAGGAAAATCTCTCTAACAAGAACACAGACATACTGTATGTATGTTATACTGTAGATACACTGTAAGTGAGTTTCCCCATGTTAGCAACATGTCTGGTTTTATTTATTCACATTGGTAATGATGATCTTTAATTTTCTTTTGCCATAGCAATTGTTTGGTCCAGGTAATATTATTGCACATTACACTGTATCACTTTTTTACTAAGAAGGTGTTTCCAGTTTTAGGGTATATAGGTGTTTTTACCTATACTTAGAATCTGTCAATAAGAGTGCTTGGAGATCTATACTGGACTTTCAGAATTAAACATGTGTGGGCTTGCACATTACCACTGCAATAATGCACTAATCACCCTATGTTTTAATCCGATTGTACAATCTCCTTTAGATTCAGCAAATGTGATATATTGCAATGGTGTACCTGGATGAAATACAGTGTATGTAGTAGAGGTATGAGCCACTGTTTACAATTCAGAGATAATGTGTTGCAGAGAGGTATAAAGCCCTTTTTTTTAAAAAAGGTATGAGGGATTTTGTCTATCAGTGAGGTATAAGACACAGTGTGTAATAGAGGGGTATGAGGCACTGGGTACATTGGTGGTTAGTAGGGGGTTGAGTGCGTAAATTAATAGTATGTGGGCAATGAGGGGATTCACTGGTGATTAGATGGCTGGAGGGGTACATTGATGGTCATTGGAGGCTGAGGGGGTATGTTAGTGATACATGGGGCTGAGGGGGTTCATTGGTGATCAGTTGGGGTTATAGGGGTACAATGATGGTCAGTGGGTGCTGGAGGGGTACACTGAACATCAGTGAGGCCAGAGGAGCACACGGGAGGTCAGTGGAAGCTATGGGGGTACATTGGCTGTCAGAGGGTGCTGGAGGGGTACATTGGAGTTTAGTAAACGCTAAACGGGTACATTAGTGGTCAGTTGAAACTGTGAGGTTCATTGGTTATCAGTAGGCTGGTTGTTATTGGGGGTTGAGGAGTATGTTGATGGTCATTGTGAGCTGAGGGGGAAACTTGGTGGTTAGTGGAGGATGGAAGGGTACATTTGTGATGAGTGGGGGCTAAGGGGATACATTAGTGCTAAGTGGGGGCTGAAGGGGTACATCAGTGGTCAGTGGTGGGCTGAGGGTATACATTGGTGGTCAGTGGGTGCTGTAAGGGTACAGTGGTGGTAGTCATTTGGAGGCTGGAGGGGTACATTGTTGATCAGTGAGCACTGTAGTAGTCTGTGGCTGGCACCACTGTACTCTCTCTCTCTGCTTTTTCCTCTCTGCATGGACTATGCAGAGTCTGTCAGGAGATCACTCTGCCCACCATTTATGCACAGAGCAGGAGCCTACCGTTGCAACAAGAGTTCTTCTGCTCGGCTCCGAGACACAGCCTGGATCCACAGGACGCCAGGATTGTGTTTAAATCTCAGGACAATATATTCCGAGTAACATGACTAGTTGCAGCTTTGATATTCTGAGCATAAGCCTGAACTCTAAAATCCATGGAAAAAAACTCCTTTGTGAAACTACAAAGTATTTACACATTTATGTAATAAAGCTTCTGCCCAGATCCTGTCACAGCACACATTAGCCACACCCCAAAATTCTGACATTTCTATAATCAAACACTGGCATTTAAACCAAGTACAGACAATAATGGCTTCACACTTGTATGGAAAGGTCAGTTTTAGGCAACCAACATAAAATCAGAGATGGCCTCCTGGGCTTAATGGAAGCCTGCATAGAAAAAAACGTGTAACCATAGATATGAATGATAAATGGTGGTTCAGCTTTAAACTTGATGGGAAATGGGCAGACAAAGCACAATATCCTTTGATGAAATTATAACTATAATTTGCATAAATAGCTTTCATACATTTTTCTTCCATGAGCAATCCATTTTCGGAAAATTTCTTGGCAGACAGTAAC